CAGTGTCAGCCAATTTATGAACAACCCGACTGAAGAACATCTAGAGGCAGTATATCGAATCCTAAGATACCTAAAGAAGAACCCCGGGAAAGGCTTATTCTTCAAAAGGGTGGAGAGTAGAGAGGTTAAGATCTTCACTGATCTGATTGGGCTAGTTCTATCACAGATAGGAGATCCACCACCGGTTATTGCACATATGTCTGGGGAAATTTGATCACTTGGCGAAGCAAGAAATAATCAGTTGTGTCTTAGAGCAGTGCCGAAGCTGAATTTAGGGCAATGGCTCTTGGAATCTGTGAAGGAATGTGGTTGAGGAAACTTCTAGAAGAGTTAAGATTCTCAAATGAAGGACCCCTAAAGATGTTTTGTGACAATCAAGCAGCTATCAACATTGCTAAGGATCATGTTCATCATGATCGGACTAAACATGTCGAGATAGATCGCCACTTCATCAAAGAAAAAATTGAGGCTGACTCATCACCTTTGTTTACACACCAACCAGAAATCAGATTGCAGATATCCTCACGAAGGCCCTTCCAAGAGCTATTTTTGAAGATCTAAGTTCCAAGCTGGGTATGATTAACATCTATTACCCAGCTTGAGGGGGAGTGTGGAATTACAGCTGTCCTCTTGGGGGCAGATTCACAAGAATCTGTTTCCTGATTTAGTCTTAGGCAGAATATTTACAGCGCTTAATTATAGGATTGATTTGTTAACTTTATTCCTATTTTATTTGATTGCTTTTTTATTTTGCCCTTATTATAGGAATTGAGCTGGCAGGGTTGTTGCCTTCCTCTTCCTATATATTGTCGTGTATTTGTTAGCTCTACCGAATAATGAGAATAATAAGAAAATTCTCTCAATCCATTCTTAAAACCAAGAGAAAACAATTTTCAACCATTTTCTATTTCTTTAACAAAAACCATTCTCAATATTTTTTGTCTTCGTTTTCGGTTTCAAAGCATTTGATGACCAAACGCGGTTTAGAGACTGATTTCCTTTTCGCATCTCAAAAGACGTGCATAAAGGTTTTCAAAAACAAATGAAAATGATACCAAATGCACCCAATGTTATTGCAATCTGTTACATTTTTTTAATTCCTTTTCATAGGAGTACATTTTTCATTTTTAAACATGCAAAAGAAAAAAGAAATTGTTAATGGACATACAGGATCGTAGAACCGTTGCTTTGAGAAGCCACTATCAACAACATAGACAATTCCCTACATAGAACAGAGGAATTACAGCATATGATGATGCACTATTCCGCCACCAAGTACAATTAATTAAGTCTTATGAATATCCATTGAAATGCAGACGTGTGCAATACCTCCAAAGTTAAGGACGTCTCTGCAACATTTGTTGATATCACTACTTTCCTCTTCCCTCTAGGAGTGGAAGTAAACACAAGCTCCTAGAAGCAGAAAGGCAGATTCTTAAGTTCCTCTTAAATAAACACCCGTGCAAATCAAAGTTATCCATTGAGATACAACAAAACGCATAACTTACCTACTCAGCACGTGGAAGACCAGAGTAGAGAGGCAAAGTAAGCAATCCTGAAAAAGAATATGAGATATACAAATCTCAGACACATTTGGCATAACCTTGCATCTGATGCTTCAAAATAACACTCCAACTACAAAGACCAGCACAAAACTTTTCTAATCTTTTCGTAACAAATTGGATAAAAGTGAATAAATGAAACAACAACAATAAAGAGCTGAAACCGAGTAGAAATACTACGTTCCTTGTACCTGAAGAGTTTCTCCCACGGCTTTGAACTTCTTCATTAAGCATTTGTACGGCAGCATCAATATCATCTTGTCCAGTAAGAAACACCAAAATATCTCCCATTGGTTCCTAAGCAACAAGAAGGTTTTAAATAATTCACACCACTAACAGAAAATTGTCATGTTTTGGCTCCAATTTGTATGCATGGTATAAAAATGAAAAAATGCCATAGAATAGAAGTAAGATCCTAATGGAAGGAAAAACCATACAGCATCTCCAAACTTCAAATTAGGGTACCTGATTATGAATGGACAATACTGTTGAAACAGCAGCCTGAACATAGTTGGATACAGGCTCTTCCACGTAATGAATGTGTACATTAAATCCTCTACCCTGCAAGAAAAGCAGATATGGTTATGTTAAATTTATTTACAACTGACTAACATCACAATATAGCCTTAAAACTTCCTCAACAAAACAAGGTTATTTTAAGTGTAATTGAGTATGGGAAATAGAGAGAGAGAGAAGAGGGCATTGTTCCAGTAAGTCATACCTCAACCGATAGGATTGCAGGATCCATCCTTGGTCCTCGGACACCACCTTCCGTTTCCCGGCGCTTTTTGCTGTTTTAGAAGGAAAGCAAGGTACAACAAGATACATGTATTAGTATTCCACTACGCATGCTTGTAAATCTAGCTTAAGCATTTGGCCCAAACAAAAAAATGAAGACCAAACAAAAAAAATGAAGACATAGCCTAGATTCAAAAATTGATAGCATTCAATCCCTTAGAGTTTATCTACGGTCCATTAAACAGCTATGGAAAATCTATACCGGTAAACACTCATTTCAACGGGTAGAACAACTGATCAACAGAAATCATGCAATAGACTAAATAAGAGCAAAAAGAAGTAAAACGTAATTGAAAATGAATGCAACTCCAAGCATTTGAGTAATAGTTTCCTAATATCCACAACGACAGCAAATGCAAAAGGTCATAAATAGACTTCTTTTGAAGGATTAAGGATGAAGTGCTGGTTAATACCCACAAGAACCAAGTCAAAGAAAGAAATCCAAGTGTGATAAAATACTCGGAACAAACCTGGTGTTGAAAAAATCAGACATGGACTTTGCTTCAATTGTGGCAGAGGAGATTATCAAACGTAACTCGGGTCAACGTCGTTGGATCTGTAATTTAGGATTTAGGATTATATGAAATAGGATGAACCCCAAAACTAAAGTAAATATTTTCATATGTTTGTTTTTGTTTCTTAAGCAATCAATGATATGTCCTTACGTAAAATACCTTTTTCAAGAGACCTAGTAAAATATCAGTTGAGATAGATCTTTCATGAGCCTCATCTACCATTATGACGCTGAGACAGTCACATTAGAATGCAAGTTAAAACTATAAATAAATTAAAAAAAAAAAAAAGAAGAAAGAGAGAAAAAAAGATTTCCTCCCACAATAAATGGGCAATCTCGATATGAAAAGAACTGGACGTATATATTATATACTTTAGAAAGAGGAAAGCAGCAAAAGCATACTCAAAATTGAAAAATACCTATACTTAGTCAAGAGAGGATCATCCATCATTTCCCTAAGTAAAACCCCATCCGTGAGAAACTTTATCATAGTTACACCCTGTGCTGCCAAAACACCCATTATTCATTAATCGTGATATTGAATTACAAGTTACAACCATGATAACTAATTTGCAAGACTAATGTTTATTGATAAAACATAAATAAATAAAATGTCTAACATTTTTGGTGATATCTTCAAATCTTATTGTGTAGCCAACTTCCTCTCCAAGCTTGACCCCCATTTCTTCAGCCACTCTTGAAGCAACTGCCTGAATATCACAAACTCTAAGCATTTGTGAGAAAATGAATCAAAATTTCATAGGGCTCTTTAAACACATAGCAAAATTTAAATACGAAGGTTGAAATGTAGCAAAATTTTTGAAAGTTTATAAACAATAACAAAAATTGATATTATTAAAGTAATGACTACGTAATTAATGGTACAATATCATTATGATAATTACTATGTAATTTTTTGTTATCTTTATAATCTATTGAAAACTTTGCAAAGTTTCAATTCAAATTTCAAGGTATGAAATTATGCCATATAGGGTAATTAAAAAAAGGTAACATCTTCAACTCATGAAAATGGCTTAGAAAGCAATAAATCACCTGAACAGCCAATCTTCTTGGTTGTGTACAAGCTATAACACGCCCACCATTAGCCCAACCTGCTTCTTTGAGGTACTGCGGTTTCAGAAGCCAAAATAACAAACATTTGAAATTATTACTGAAAAGGGTCACTAACATTTCTTCGATATTCTCATGCATTTTTCCCGAAAAACAAACAAACAAACAAACCTGAGGAATCTGAGTGGTTTTGCCACTGCCCGTTTCGCCAACAACAATGGTGGTGGCATGGGTCTCCACCAAATAAAGAATGGCGGTGCGGTACTTGAACACGGGAAGCCTCTGTCTCAGCCTCTCGATACTCGAATACCCAAATCTGCCACCACAACCAAAATAGAAATCAATAACTGTAAGACAACAAGAATGAAAGTGGAAATTGAATCAGAAGAAGAAAGATACCCAGAGGAAGAAGAGTGAGAAGAAGAGAAGAAGAGAAGACCACCCTCCTCGTCGTCGAGAAGGCGGGGTTTCTCGGTGCCTGGCTTCCAAAACTGGGGCATTGCTTGCTTTTTCGTTGCTTTCGTTTCGTTTCACCGCGGCTTCTTCTTCTTGTTTGCTGCTTTTACTTTCTCTCTTCTGCGTTCCGTTCGTTTTCTTTGGATTATTGAAGTTGGAAATTGGAGCCAATTGGCCCCTCCTGGGCCTCCTCTTAAATCCAAAAACCCGTTTGTAAATTGGGAGGCGGGTCCTCCGTCAGGGGAATGAATTAGGGTCCCAACTCTATCACACCCCAAAATGTAGGGTTTTCTTTTTTTTTTTTCGGTTCCAAATTAGCCTAACCCGCATTGTGCTGGTAGAGTTGCGGGACGGTCTCTTTCTAACCCAAGCATACCCTACCCGGCCGAAAGGCAGAGATAAAATGTTAAAAAAAAATTTAGAAACCCTATGATACCCTTTCTTTCTCTTCTCACTTCTTAGCTTATTTTTCCCTCTTATCTCTCAACCTATTGCGCTGCTCACTCGGCCAGCCGAAGAGTCTCTTGATATTGGCGGTTTCTCTTTCTTCCTACTTTCTCCGCTTGTCCGCCATTCCTCCACCGTTCCCTCGTCGTTCGTCTTCTTCTTCTCAGACTCTCTCACCCTTTCGAACCCTCATGTCAGCCTCCTCCGCTGTGATTCCGCCAATAGGTTCAGGTATTTCCCTAAACTACGGGGTCATTTGCTCTCCTTATTCGTCTTCTTGGATTTGCTGAATTAATTTGTTTGTTATATGAAATCATCACGTTTGGCAAAAACTGAGTTTTGTCACAAATCTATATGACCAGAATCCCAATTGACAATTGCTTCTTTCACGTCCAAGAGGAAAAGAAAAGGGTTACTAGGATACCAGATGCAATTCAAATTTGCCACACAGCAGGGGACACAGTCAAACGTCCAGGCCCAACCCTCCCAGCCCGCAAAACTGAACCTACCGAGGTAACTCGAAGGGTTACGGGTTTGTGAGCCAAATATAGTGATGCGGCCCAAATTTTCCTCACTTCTAATGTGGTGGCTCAGCCCGCAAAACGGATGCTTTTAGGCCCAACCTGAGCCTACCCAGCCTACTTACACCTCTAAAATGAATAGCACTTCTATTCGGGATCCGGATCAGATGCCAATACGGATTATGATACGGTAACCCGATTCAAACTAAAACTTAAAACTCTTCCTACCCGATTCAAATTAAAACTTGAAACTCTTCAAAAAAAAAAAAAAAAAACCAACTGGACGTGTGCATTATAAAAGCATCCGTTTGGTTCACAAGTATCAATTATTTAAGTTTGAGTATATAAAACAAACAAGTCTTAAATGAAGAGTTAATGGATCAGGAGACTTCACCACTCCTTGTCTTCAGTTTGCCTCACTAAAAAGTGTATATGATAATTGATAGTGCATGCTTAGCTTGGGAACCTCATAAGAGCATGCCTTTCTGCTGTGGCTCAGTGGCTGCCGAGGGTCACATTCTGTGGCAGTTAAAACTTTGGTGATTTCGCCCTGTTTTTTTTTTCTTTTCTTTTTTCTTTTTTTTTCCATTTCCATGGATAATCTGGCATTAGAAGTAGAAAGGGTCATCAAAGGAAAGATTCCAAGATAGCTTGAGCAATACCTTGTGAGGTTGAAACTTGAGATATAGTGGTTTTCTATTGGCCAGGAACTACTAAGGCCCGTTCACTTCGCTGATTCGAGTTTAGAATTCGAGTTGAGATGTGACTTTATGTGAGAGCTTTTTACTGTAGTAAAAAAGTTAAATGTGATTGTTTGTGAGAGCTTTTTACTGTAGAAAAACTCAAATTTTAAACTCGAATCAGCGAAGTGAACGAACCTTAAGTCTTGTTTTATTGAATAAATATTCAGCAAGTATTCTTTTTCTTTTTTTTTTTTGTTCCTAGTAAAAAAGGCTTATTATACTAACAAAAACAAATCCTCCTGATTATTTATTTAATAAATCAGAATGAACGCATGAAGATTAGACTGCAAGTGTACAATGTAACAGAGTTATCCTATACTATTCAAAGTTCCAATTATAATGCATGGCAATCCAACAAGTGTTCATATTGATTTCTTTTTTCTATATGCTGACTTTTGGTAATTAAATAGTCCTCTTGATTTTTTTTTTCCTAGATTATGACTCGGTCAATATTCTACCTTTCTAATTGTGTGCTTGACTAGTGGTCCCATAACTTCAGACCAAATCAATGCGCGTTTTCCCCTTCATCACACGTAATTACGTGTAGAAGAACTCAACATCTAGAAGAACTCAACATCACATTCCATATATATACAGAACTAGTACGATCATTTTCATGAATTATTGTAAAATCTTGTAACAAATTTTTGCACTTGGAATACTTAAGCTCCAATGCTTTTCTCTTCTCTTTCTTTCACTTCACTTCCAACACTTGGATTCTTCTTTCGCATACTAATTTTCTTTCTTCTTAAAACATCTTATGGAGCTCAACCGGCTTATAATAACGAGAAGGTTACGAATATCGGAGCAATCGTTGATATTACATCTCGTATTGGGAAAGAACAGAAAGTTGCCATGGAAATTGCAGCTCAAAACTTCAACAACAAATCAAAGAATCACAAGCTCTCTCTATATTTTCAAGATTCTGCTTCTTCTGGTTGGTTATCTCTTAAAACTCTTTCTGTGTATTCAAGTGAAATAATTGTTTCATACTAACAACACATGGTCGATTTCCATTCCAGCCAAACAGATGATTGAAGAAAAGAAAATAGAAATGATTGTTGGGATGAAGACATGGCAAGAAGCTGCTTTAGTAGGAAAAGTAGGAAACCGAACTCAAGTTCCGGTTATTTCATTGGCAGCACCTAGCATAACACCCCCATTAATGCAACTTAGATGGCCTTTCTTGATAACAATGGCGAACGATCTCTCTTACGAAATCAAGTGCATTGCAGATCTTGTTTGTGCCTATAACTGGCGAAAGGTTGTAGTCATAATTGAGGATGATGAATACGGTGGTGATATGGGAATCATAAACCTTTTAAATGAGGCTCTTCAGAGCATTGGTTCCGAGATTGAATCCCGTTTAGTCCTTCCACCCTATTCATCTCTCTCCGACCCAAAAACGATGGTCCTAGATGAGATTGTGAAACTTTTGCAAGTACAATCTCGGGCTTTTATCGTTCTTCGGTCTTCATTGCCTATGGTAAGTCATTTGTTTAGAGAGGCTAAGAAACAAGGACTTTTAGATAGTGATTCGGCTTGGATAATCACAGAGAGCATTACAAGTTTGCTGGGCTCAGTTGACAACTCTGTCATTTCCTCTATGAAAGGAACTCTTGGAATCAAGAGCTACTATTCCAAGACTAGTAGTTCTTATAAAGCTTTCTATTCCCGATTTGAGTAACTCTTTGGAGAAGAGAACCCGCGAGAAGGTGATTCAAACCCCGGAATTTATGCTTTACAAGCATATGACAGTATTGGAGCAATTACACAAGCCTTAGAGGGAATGGCTAGCAACACTAGTTCAAAAGAGATGTTGGAGAAGATATTATCAGCCGATTTCGAAGGTTTAAGTGGGAAAGTAAGTTTCGAAGAAGGCAAGTTGTTGCATAATCCAATATTCCAGGTTGTAAATGTGGTTGATAACAAAGAAAAGGAACTAGACCAGAAAAAAGGGATATACAATGAACTGGATTTTTGGATGCCAGAATATGGATTCTTGGAAAGCCTTGATGCAAAAAAAGGTAAAATGGAAAATATAAGTGATTTTATCAGCAAAAATTCCCAAGAGTTAGTTGGCTCAGTACTTTGGCCTGGGAACTTGAAGAATAGAACACCAAGAGGGTGGGCAATGCCTTCTATTACAAAACCTTTGAGAGTTGCAGTTCCTGGCGGTACCCAATTTGATAAGTTTGTTACGGTTGTTGAGTTGAACAGACTCTCAAATGAGGACTATGATGGTTTCTGCATTCAAATCTTCAAGAAGGTGCTAAAACGTCTGGATTATGATCTTCCATATCAGTTTTCAGCTTTAGATGTCATTGCATATGATGAACTTATTGAAGCTGTCTATAACAAGGTATAATCTACATTTCAATTCCCTTACAAGTCCTTGTTTCATTTACATTACATATACTTTAAAGATCAATCTTCTTTTGTACCCCCTTTTCTGATATACTTGCTTGGTCTGATACGAACTATTTTCATGGTAGACTTATGATGCTGTCGTGGGCGACATGACCATTTTAGCCGACCGATTAAATTACGTGGAATTCACTCAACCATATACCGAATCAGGGCTTTCAATGGTGGTTCCAATCAAGTCTGGAGAGTCGGCATGGATGTTTGTGAAACCTTTCGCGTGGGAAATGTGGGTGGCCACTCTTGCCATCTTAGTTTACACAATGTTCATAGTTTGGTTCTTGGAACATCCAACCAATCCAGAATTTAGTGGTTCATTGAAGAAGCAGATTGGCACCACACTTTGGTTCACATTCTCCTCTCTCTTCTTTGCTCACAGTAAGTTTTACATACACACTTGCACTTATAAAGCTTAGCATTTATGTTGCTGTTAGGAATTACACCCTAATCCTTAATATTCGAGAACAAAATTAAGGTAAACAATGACCATATACAAATACGAGATTTGTAGTAATTCACTCTCAATATGAGAGCTACGTCCCATTTGTCGCTATAGATTTGTCATAGTTAGAAACAAGATGATTTTACTTCTCTTAAATGCCTCACAAGAGACCAACCTCCTCTTTCAAGCTCCCTAAAAAACGGCTGCCCTAAGAAAACCATTGCACAAAATTATTAAGACAGACTATTACAACTGTAGAATGCCTAGAATACCCCTGAAAAACCATTCCAATATAACAAGACAGGAAAATGTGTACAATATTGTTTGGCTTCAATAATTTAACAGCCTCAACATATCATAAGAATAATAATAATACATGTATAGTTTACAAAATTTTTATGGAGTTTTTCTGCTTAATTTTTTGCAGAGGAAAGAGTCCATAGCAACATCACTAGAGTGGTTGTTGGGATGTGGTTTTTCGTTGTGTTCATCTTAACCGCAAGCTACACTGCCAGCCTTTCTTCATTGCTTACAGTGAAACAACTAGAGCCAGATATAGACATCGAGTGGCTAAAACGAACTGACCAAAAGGTTGGTTGTGGAGATTCATTTATGAGAAGATACTTGGAGACAGTTCTTGACTTCAAGCCGGAGAACATCATAGATGTTCCTGATGAACACCATTACTTGGAGCGATTTAGAGAGGGAAACATTACTGCTGCATTTCTTGAAGTCCCATACGAGAAAGTTTTCCTTAACAAGCACTGCAAGGATTACACTACCACCACGCAGAGATTTGGTGGATTGGCCTTTGTGAGTATTAACTACATACCATTGCATTTTCTCTCTTCCAAAACATTTTTTTTTTTTTTTTTTTTTTTTTACAAGAGTATTATTTGGCATTAGTGGTATCAGGCACTACTATTACTCATATAGAATTGATGTTAGATGTGAGTCCCATACTTGTAGACCCTACACAGTAGGGGTGCACGACACCACCGATGCCCTTTATCTTTCTTTCTGTTTATGTCTCACTCTTAATATAAACATCACATGCAATTTTTACATTGTCAGAGCTCAAAAATTGATCAATTATGCAGTTCTGTAAAAGCTCTTTGCAGTAGCTAAAAGTGATTCATTTTCTGAAAGTTTTGTTCTTTTTCTTTTCCTTGATGAGAATACTCTTTTTTTTACCCCTTTAGAAAAGTCTATGAACTAACACAAAAGGGGAATTCTGCCTTATATGCAGGCATTCCAGAAAGGCTCTCCTATAGCTAGGGATTTTTCAAAAGCCATTCTACAGCTATCAGAAGATGGAAATATAACTTCGCTCGAAAAACAGTGGTTGACTCCCTCGAATGAGTGCTTACCAAATAGCATAACAACTAATGAAACTGAAAGCTTGAGCCTTAAGAGCTTTTGGGGTATCTACCTTTTATCTGGTGCCATTTCCACCATCTGTTTTCTGCTCTCCCTTGCTCGGCTACAAAAGAATTACCGACATCATCAGCAAGCGAATGGCGCCAACCACACTACCGAAAACAAGATGCTTGGATTGGCAAGGTACTTCTACAATGACGTGACCAATACTAGTCAAGAAAGAGCTTCTCCTACTACTACTACTACTAGTAGTAGTAATATTAGTTTCTCTGCTAATGGCATGCCTAATCTTGATGGATCGATTTCTTCAACGTGGGAATTTGTGAGCACATCCGATGCTACAGAGAGTCTTGGGACTTCTCCACCAGCTGAAATTGAAATTACAACACTAAATAATGATAATGATGATATTACACAAGTATAAACATGTTGCAATAATTCACATTGCTAGATTTTTAAATGTATGCATCTTATAGCTAGCGTAGTGTTTAATGTAGGAATTGGGATGACAAAATTGTACAAATTTGAAGATTGGCCTGTCCCTCTTCACTGTTGAGAATTTCATGTGTAATACTAGGATTGTGTAATTCAGTACTTTTTCAATTATTAAAAAAAAACAAAACATAATTCTAATTGATTAATTTTTGAAGTGCAAAGTATGAAATGAGTAATAGAGAAATGGACTGGGTTACATAAATTTTCCCTTTTTTTCAGTGAGACAGAGAATAAGACTTGAAGGGTGCGTTTGGAATTGATTCCAAAACGTTTTTATTTTCTGTATGAAAATGAAAATGAAAACGTTTTTAGTTTCATTTTTGAATTATTTCTAAAAATGCGTTTGGTAGTTTTATTTAGAGATTGATTTCAATTTTAAAAAAAACTGAAACTGCGTTTGGTAGTTTAATTTTTGAAAACATGTAATAATATATTAAATAATAATATATTAAATAAATAATATTATTATAATAT